ACGTTCCAGTTGTACAGGCAATTTCAAATTTAGAAGCGTGTTTTACTCTTTTTCACTGCGGTTTCCAGAAGAAACAATAAATAACTCCCGAAATTTGTTTAGCTATTTCGCTGAGATTATAATTTGTTTGTTTTAAATATCATCTTATTGATTTAAGATTAGCTATCTAAATTACTAGCTATCTAAATGCTAGCTTTTATATTTTCATCCCATCTTACACCTCTAATAGGCTGACTTGTTTTGCACTGGTGCAGAGAATTTACACACAGTTTGGTGTACCCCGAAAGTTGGTTGCGGCCAAGGCTCCGGCCAAGCCTCGATCTCGGACTTCTCCGTGTCAAAAAAAAGGACAAGTGTGGCGTCGCCTCCGGGAGATATCGAGGCTTAGGCAAGCAAAGTTCGTGGTTTTTTTACAGGCCAGGATCTTGGTCCCCAGCCGTTGGGCGGCGGAGGCTCGATACCTTACGGTAAAATTCGGTTTTAATTTATTTATTTATTAATTTATTTATGTATATATTTATATGAATACTTTATTTAAGACTTATTTATTTACTCCGTTATTTATGCATTGTACATGTAATTTATGTGGTATAAATAAGTACCTGAAATAAAGTTTACTGTCGTAAATTAATAAAGTTCTCTGCACATAAAGTATTTACTTTTGTAATAAATACAAGTTCTCTGAGCATACCGTATTACTGTATACATAAATAAACGTCTACCGAACATCAGTATTACTGCGCGAATATAAAGTCACTGAACATAAAGTACTAACTTGTAAAGGTAGGAATATACTCGTCTTACTTGCCCGCGGGCACCAATCGAGTGTTGGGTCACTGGGTCTGTTTCGTTGTCGTGGTCGTGGACTGATAGTCTCTCCTTCTTTTACCTCCTCTTTTCCTTGTTTTCCCGTTTAGATGATTAATAGTCAGTCTGTAGCGTACATTGACTATGTGAGATTAAGTCGGGCGGTCTTTACAGCGAGAGAGAATGCCACATCTAACAAGGCAACCCGTTGGTAATGAAGAAGAAGAGAGGCCAAAAACCGTTACGTTTGTTGAAATTCCACGTATGGGCGGTGGGATGACATGTGACTCTCACTAGTAGTATAGTAATGTAGAGAATTGAGTCCTGCATTAGATTGTCATACAGATTAGTCTTTTTATTTATTTATTTTGTGTCTTGTTTTGTTTTTTGTTGTTAGATTACTAGAAAGGACTGGATTTACAATCTATCTAAATGGAAGGGGTAAAAGTGTTTCATTTGTCACGAAAGACCTCGAGAAGAGGGAAGGAAAACAGTTTTTGGTTGGTGTGGGTAAGGGAGAGACGGGGATTTTGCCATTGAAATCAAAAGAGAAAGTCGAAATTACTACAGGTGTAAAGAATCTGGGTGTCAAGGATGTGCACAGTGACTCTGCTGGTGTTGTCTGTTGCACTGACTGCGACATTATTGTCCCTGATATTTAGTTGTTGTCTTGGCTTATTGTTTTCAGGTTCTTCCTGGGCATTAACCCTGAGACGGGCTCGAAAGCCAATGTGAAGCGTGGCGTTATAAACCCCCGTGTCAGCACATTCTTTAGAAAACTCCTTGACTTCGAGCGGATGTCTGTGTAGACATGTCCAGGACTAAAGTACTCACAGTCTGTAGAAAGTTTCATGTTAAATGTACTTTGCACTTGAATGGAGGAATAAAAAGTTAAAATGGGTATTTTCTTCGTTTTTCTTTGTTGATTGAGAAGATTCAATTGTGTATGGTAAAATCCCAGTTAACTAGTAACATTTACTATATATTATAGTATTATTTACATTTTTATATTTACAGTAAATTACTGGCTAATGTGTTGCATTACTTTACAGTAAAAGTGTGAAAATACAAGTAATTACTGTAATTTATGTACAGCAAGCTACCATAATACCACAGCTCTGTACTGCTATATCACAGTACTTCCATGGGCATGGCAACTGTAAAGTCACAGTATGTAGTTGTACTTCTATTCTAATTTACTGTAAACTATCCACAGTAAATTACTGTGAAATCCATGCAACTAGTAGCCAGTAATTTACTGTAAATGTACAGCCAAAGATGTTACAGTGTAGGTTAGGAAAATTAGGGTATGTTTTTCTACAGATCTTAATTTCTTGTCTTCACCATGGTTACAAAGTCCTGAATGATCATTGAATTACTGAAAATATGCATATTACAACTGGAAGTATAAATAAAAAATATCTTTAAAAGCTACAACTCCCATCATATCAGCTGTGCACCATGGTGCAAAACGACACCGTATTGGTAGTTTATTTTTGGGAATCCAAAGTGGTGTTGTGATAAGGTTCTAAAAAATATAGCCTATCGACTGATTGGATAAAATAAAAAAGTCCGCCAAATTGGTATTGATACTGTAAGGAGGCGTACTGTGTGAAGAGAAATTAAAGATGTTGTTTAGTTGCTGATATATTTGTTATCCACGTCATGCATGCAGTTTCGTTGTGGGAGTTTTTCCGATTTGAGTAAACCTTAAATCTAAGTGTGCAGTCTGGGCATTACATTCCTGTAAATAGTTTGAGTTACCCAGCATGCCTTGCAGTCCTACCTGAGCAGGATGACTTTCACCTTGGAGGCGGCACTCTTAATGATGGCCGAGGCGTTCTGGTGACTCCGCCCATAAAGAACCTGGTTGTTAATCTGACAGAAAAACCGAAATATGTTGTTAATGAACCTCCCATCTGTAAAACACATGTGATGATATATTGTTATTGATGCTTCACAAGACATATCACACTTCACAGGGACATATATCATCCCTTGGCTGAAAGGAGTTCTGATCAGTAGTTATTGATTTGCACAACGATAATTATTAAAGTCAATACACCGATTCACACATCCTGCAGTGACTCAGCTCCATTTCCACATGACAGTTTGATGATTCTGATTCTAACAGTTCCAAGGTCAAAACACACACACACACACACACACACACACACACACACACACACACACACACACACACACACACACACACACAAATGTGTCTTTCATCTATGCAAATGTCACTCTTGTTATAGTGTGTGTTTCAGTGTGTATGTGGTATTGCAAATGTCCCTGAATATCTGATCAACTACAGAAACAAACTGTGTGTGTGTGTGTGTGTGTGTGTGTGTGTGTGTGTGTGTGTGTGTGTGTGTGAGTGTTATTGTCCAGGCTTTCCTCATCTGAACATCTATTTCTCATGGAGCCTGTCACACTGATGTAATGAGTAGGAGGGGTGAGCAAGAGGGAGAGAGAGAAGGTCTCAGTGTCTCTCTGTTTAATATTAATCTAGATACATTGGAAGGCCCTCACACACACCCCACACCTGTTGGTCTGATCTACAGCTGTAATATGATGCAACCAAGTGGAACGTGATGGCATGCGTAATGCAGCGACGTGCGGTCAGGGTAGGCAGGGGAGGCAGAGCCTCACCTGTCATACTCCAATGTAACGGAAAAACAACTAAAGAAAAACTAAATAGTAATAATAATAAAATGTCTCCACTGATCTGTGTTGTAAGTGTGATTTATGGATGATTCCAATCGCTTTTTAAAATCAAAATCTGCAAATGTGCTGAGCTCCGCTACAACTACGGGTAGCGATGAGAAGTGAGGTAGGGACGAGCTCTGCCTCTCGTAAGCCCATAGTAATTTGCTGGAGCGCGGGCACTAATTTAACGCGGGCACTTATTTTGTGAGCGCGCTCAAGCCAGTTACTGTGAGGTGAGGTGAGGCACAGATGAGCTCTGCCTCACCTCAGAATGCGTCACCCCACAGAAACTGGCTGGAAAGCGGGCACTAAGCGCATGCCTGTTACCATCTCACTGTAGGTCACCAATGTAATGTTTGTAGATCCCTTTATTACATTTATCCTCGCCATCCATAGTCTCTAAATAACTTATTTCACGTATATGATATTTAGGCTCGCTGGTCTCATCATATAACGGCAATGAAAAAAGCACCAGGGGAGGCAGCCATAACCTCTGTCGCACTGAAGGGGGCGCACGTGAGCCCACAGGTTCTTGTTGCTACTGTTATTCTACGCAGAGACGGTAGACACAAACAACAAGCTAGACTTTTCAGATTACAGGAAGATAAGGAGGACTTTTACAAAAAAGTAATAGAGATTGTTGTCCAGAAGGATAGCATGGACTTCATCTTCAAGTCAAGGTAAGACCACAATTGTAAAGAAAATGGGATCTTACTAAGAAAGAACAATCCAATATTTAGATGTTGGGTATCCTTTTGTTGAACGGTCTGTTTAAAATGAATTGAAGCATCAGACAAAAAAAGCTTTTGAAAATAGCCGAATATTTCGATTAAGGTCAAAATATAATATTTGTAAATCTGACTCTGAAAGAGTCAGTGCCTCACCAGCCATGAACCTCACCGCACGTCACTGGTGGTCACAGTACATGACGGTCGGACATGGTATGGCCTATACTCTAATAATGGATTGCTGTTCATTTTATGTGAATTTAGAAATAGTATCTTATAGTATTTAATAATTATTATGAAATATTGTTTATTGTTCATCCTTTGCATTACCAGTAAATGTGGTCAGTTAACTATAGTAGTTCACTGTCATTTCTCAGAAAATACAGTATTTTCTTTCAAGCAGTGGCAATGCACACTGTCATCCTTTCCATCTTATCCATCCACATCGTACTTAGTATTGTATCATTTGTATCTGCTACAATAACATTCTTTCATCAAAAAAAGTGCTCATAACCTATAACACATTTTTTAGTGACTTGACAAGGCGGGCTATTTCTGAACGTGACTTGGGTCAGAACAGCTTTAGAAGGAGAGCAGTCCATATTGACTCCAATCACGAAGGTAAAGCTAAGCTTATCTCCAGGAATTAGCCCTGACCAGTGTTGTTCTGTCTTCATAGTATTGAATTGTTGACGTTCATACTGAGTTAAATTAGGCCAGGTTGCTAAAACTGTTGAGGCAACCTCTGTGCACTAGCTAGCTAGCTTAACCTTAGTTAGCTGTAACATTAGCTAGCTGTAGCATGCTGCCAGTAAAGTTAATGTTATCAAATGTGGTTGCTAGTAATCGTGTGATGATGTACGAACTGGAAGATATTCAGAATGGAGTGGGGATCAAACGCCTGTTATTGTGTACTCCATTTGACCAGCTACATTGAGTTACATTATTTGCTTTACAGACACTCATTTATTATCTGTGATTTAAGATATCAGCTTTCACATTTACAAGCTCTTGTTTCCAAGACCGACTGTTACATTTCTATTTAAATTCAGTTTCTGAGGTTATGCTCATAAATTCATCAAAGCCTGCATTAATGATTGTATTGGAGATCTCTTCCAAGCATGGCAATGCAGTATCTTGTTTTGTTATCCTACTAAGCCAGCAGTACATTTGATTGAGGACTTGGGCTATCATATGCAAAAGTAGCAGAACGTATTTCCTTTATAAATAAACATTACAATTCAGTAATATATTGTAAAATTACTCTACAACTAAATATATATTATAAGGATGTGAGGCTTGGTTTCCTAAAGGGAACAGATAGATGAAGCTGAAAATATACCTGCAAGCAGCACTTCCTGTGTCCAGCAGGACACATCAGGCACAGCACACTGCACACAGGTACAGGGAGGACATGTCTGCCTCTGAGCAAACTGTGATCCTGATTGGAGGAAGAAACACATCAATGTGGCCCACTTCCTGGTTGTTCCTACCAATTTGAAAAGGTTTTCAATGGATTACTAGTTAAAACAGTTATCTCACAAACATAGGATGCTGTTTCTGCATGTTCCTTAACACATGTTTATTTTAAGAACACTGTTAAAAATATGTTGTACCACTTTGCAATAAGACTACCCTTATAAAGGGTTTACGAATAGTTTGTAATTAATTTATTAATTAGGTTGTGAACACTTTATAAATCATTAATAAGCTTTTATAAGACATTTATTCTTGGTAAGTAGCCAATATAAGGCTTAGTCCTCTTGCCAAATAGTGAGCCTGTGTTGATGTATGAAAACTATATTAGAACTGGTTTATAAATGGTTCTTGATGATTAATAAAGTGTTTACAACCTAATTCATAACCTAATTATAAACCCTTTATGAAACCTTTATAAGGGTAGTCTTATTATAAAGTGGTACCAAGAAAGGTACAGGTGGATATTTGAGCTGTAAATCAGGAAAAGTCGATGTCATAACATGTTAGTCCATAGTTTAACTTGATCAATTTAGCTAGCATAGCTCATTAGCATGCTAAAACATGTATTTTTTAAGATGCCATTATAAAATGTATCAAGCTTTTGATATTTTCTTTATTTGTTTACAACATTTTAGTAAGCCAATTATAAGGGTTTGGAGTTTGTTTCTATACATCCAGCAGTTTAATAATGTTTGCCGGCAAAGTTGATAAAGTTGTAGCTAGTTAGCTTGTGATC